GATGTTTTTTTGTATTTTTCATCGAATTATTTGTTGTGAAATGAGTCAATCGAATGGTTTCTGCTCAGAGGTGTGTAGCGCCAATATATTCACGCAGTTTTACCGTTCTTAAAGTAAAAAAGGTAAATTTGCACTTAGTGCCAGTTTGAAAATTTGTTACTCGTAAGACATTTGGTCTTTGTTGAGTGTTATACTACTAGTGTTGGTGGACTTTGTCACTGTACTGAATAAACATTTATAATGGTGACGGAACAGTGACTGTATGCCGGCTATTTCTTCTTAGGGAAGGTAATTTGTGTTTTGCAAACGCAAGACAAAATACTGTCATACATAAAAAGGCTATAAAGACACAGAAGCGCATATCTTTATCATATCAGACTTGAATGAGTTACGGTGCTGCGCACTGCTTTCAGTACATGTCTCAGAACCATTTAATTAGAACATGAGTTCATGGTATGTTCAATGAAACCTACAGTAAACAACTGATATTGCTTTATTTGCTAAAGCGGTATCTTTCTCGTCACAATGCTACAACACTCAAAACATAAAGGCAAAAAGTTTTTGGCATTTCGAAAACATCGTCTTTATCCGTTCTGAACGGAGGAGGCAGACAGCGCGATGCCATTATAGCACGTCAGAAAAGGCTTCACGAAAACGACACCACCAGTGGAAGCTTAAAGTCGGAAATTGGAACATATCCTCACTCAGAGGAAAAGAACATGAATTAGTTCATGAGGCCATGAAGTACTAACTCGACATTTTTGGACTCTCGTCAACAAAACGCCCAAGCTCTGGACTCCTGAACCTCAACGGATGGAAGCTGTTCTACTCAGGTGTCGATATCACGACTCGCGCTCAGGCCGGTGTTGGCGTTCTGGTAGAACCCAACCTTGCCGATAAAATAATCGATTGGAAGCTTATCAATGGAAGGGTGGTAATCCTCCGACTGAAGCTACAACAGCCTAAATCGACGATCTTGGTACAGGTCCATGCGCCCAATTTGGAGGGAAAATATGAAACCTGTCTTGAGGAAGTACAGTGTGCTCTGTCCGACGTGCCGAATACAGAGTTCCTCATATTGATGGGCAAATTTAAAGGGCATGTCGGAGTAGACGCTGAAAAGTGGAACGGTGTGACTTGAAAAAACGGCCCCAGTGACCTCAACAATAACGGCATAAAGTTGCTGCGGTTTTATGCAAACAACGGATTGTCCATTATGAACATCTTCGAGCATCTGAAAGTGCATCAGTACACCTGGTACCGGGAAGCTTGTGCACAGAAGTCGGTGATCGATTTGATAATCGTATCATCAGACTTAAAACGCGTTAAGAAATGGAGTACCATACGAAGATCTGGTGGCAGAAGCAACCGGAGAATCAAATGGGAAACATTATCT